TGCAAATGGGGTTCCCAGGTTGCCACATGTCTGCCCAGATGACTGCCAATTCAAGGGTTTCTTTGACCTCCCTCCTGAGATTCAATAATTTGCTAGAATGACTCACAGAACTCAGGAAAGTGCTTGACTTACAATTACCTGTTTATTGTAAAGAATATACTTTGGTAACAGGCAAATGGAAGAGATGCATGGAACAGGTTATGAGGAGAGAGGTGTGTGGAGTCTCCACGTCTCTGAGTGTGTGCCATTCTGCAAGCCCCTCAGTATATTCACCAACTGAAAGTTCCCTGAGCATTGTCATTGAGAGAGATTTGTGAAGTTTTTACCACGTAAACATGACTGATTAAGTCATTGGCCATTAGTGATGGAATGCAATCTCTGGCCACCTCTCTTTCTCTCAGAGGTCAGAGGATGTAGTTGAAAGTTTTAATCTGTAAACATGTGGTTATCTTTCCTGGTTTCTAGTCCTCATCTTGAAACTATGTAGAATCCCCACCCCTCTTCCAGGAGCCATTTCATTAGCATAGAAAACAATAAATTTCAAGGGTTTGGGAAGCTCTGTGCCAGGAACTTCCAACAAAGAACAAATGCTTATTGTGCTGGTTGCCTTTGAACATCAACTTGACTGGCTTACTGGATAGCCAGTCAAGCTTACTGGATTGGCTTATGCAAACAGCTGATGAAGTATGAATTATTCTCAGTGCTTCTGTAGACACTGAACCCATCTCTCTTCTGCTGAAACTTGGTGGTTTTGCTTGTGATCAACATGACTGGACTGTCCCAGGTGTGTTTCCAGAGGAGTGGGTGGATTCCATGGGAAAGACCCACTTTTGATGTGTGCAGGAACCAGCCAATCAACTGAGGATCAGGGTAGAACAAAAAGCACAAAGAAGGGGAAATTCAAGGTCTCTCTGTGCTGGAATCAGATGCACTTCTCTTGCCATTGGATAACAGAAACCCAGATTTTCTAGCCTTTGTTCTTGGACTTACCCTCTAGGCTCTAAGGCCTCTGTCTCAGACTGACAGTTATACCTTTGACTTCTTTGGTTCTGAGACCTTTGTATCTATTGTAGATCTCTGCCTCCTCTAATCATGTGAGCCAATTCCCCTAATAAGTTGTGTGTGTGTGTGTGTGTGTATGTGTGTGTGTGTATGTGCGTGTGTGTCATCAATTCTGTCTTTCAGCAGAACCCTAAACATTTATTTTTTTATTTTATGACAATATTTTACAATAATAGATAAGTAGACAGACAGACAAACACACATCCTTCAGGAATCTAACATAATTTGCAGCAAGCCAAGGATTCAGGTTTGAAAAATCACTGTTTCCATCACAACTAACCATACTGTTTACTCAGCAATATTTCAGGGACCTGAATTGGGCACAAGCACTATATTTGTCGTTGTTTTAAAACCAAGACATTCATAGTTATTTACTTCTATTATTTTTAGTAGCTCTCTTTTGGAACTAAAACGCCACATTTTATTTCAGCTTCAGGATAATAAAATATTTATTCTAGAAATGCATACATTGAATACCATTTCACTTCTAAATATTGGGACTCAAGAGGAAATTTTTTTCCATTTTAATGTCTCCAAAATAACACAACCTTAAAGGTTGTGCCTGTGAGGGACTGATATTATAAGCATTTGAGAAATAAAGGATTGTTACAGGTTATTCCCTCTAAACTCATAAAACTGCTTTCAGTTTTACCCATGGTATCCCACCCCCTTTATACCATGATGTTGCCAGTTAGGGTAACAAAACAAGCAGAAAATTATGTATCCAGTAAAAAAAATTAATTAACTTGAGAATTTGATTAATTCTTAATGTATAATTATCCATGAAATTATACATTTTCTCCTACTAGCCTATAAATTTATTAAGTATGTGGTCTGCATCTTGTTCATTTCTGTATCTTGAAAAGTTAGCAAGTGCATGGCATAGAATAGATGCTTAACAAATGCTCTGTATAGTACCATACTTAATCAATTTTAAGATACACATGTTTTTCATATTTTGACATCTACGAAATTGGGATGCATCTCACAATTAATAGTGGCTTGATCATTGGCAGCCAGGTATGAAGATCTTCAGTGGTTACCTACTGGTAAAATCAAGAATGCAACAGCTTCACAGCATATTAAATTTGATAACATATAGGTAATAAATGATTAAAAGGTTAAAGTATTATTTTAATATTGACTCAAAAATATTTTATAGAGATGACATGAATATGAGTTTTTTGTTTTGCAGCTTTATAACCTCATAGATTACATAGTTTAACTAAAAGATGACTACTGTTATCTTTTTTAATTTTCTTATTCAAGTAAAATTATAACTCTACAAATGGAGCTCATTGTTATAACTGAGTTGATCACCCTTATCCATTAGCCTACCATATTATGGAGAAACGGGCCTTTCTCTTCAGAGATTTTGTTGTTCTTTTAACTCATTTTTTAAATTTACTCAAAGTATTAATATGAGTTATATATTGATTTGTGTTAAGCCCAATTAATATAAATTAAGTACCTATGGGTGAGCAAGACATTTTGATAAGTCATGAGGATTTTTA